CATGCAACTGCAAACAGCGAGGAGATTTACCTTAAGTAAAACATAAAACATTCGAGTTCCTCCTAAAGCCCTTTTTTTTTTTTTTTTTTTCTTTGTCTACCATTGATTTTTGAAAAGAAATTCCTGTATTTGCATTTGTGCTCTTTAAAGAAGCGGGATCATCTCACAAGCTCATCCATTAAAAAAAAAAAAAGAACAACACACCTCTATTCTCTCCCCCATCACCAGATGAGCAATGAGAAATGGTGAATCAATGCCCATTGTGTGTGAAAGGGGTCTCCAGAAATGCAAACCGTTCTGGTTTTGGCAGGGAGAAATCAGCTGCAGTTGCAGAAGGGCTGTAGCCAGGTGGGCTGCAGGTTGGCAATGCCTCCTACAGACAGACCCAACACTGGGATGGGCCTCAGCTCCCTGCACTGCCCGAGGATTCCCATTCCTATGTGGCAGTGGAAAGGTATTAAAACAAGGTGATGTATTTTCTGCAATTTTAGTTTTCAAAGCGGGGTTTGTAAATTCTCACAGCGGAGCAGCAACAGAACTCAGCTTCACAACAAAAAGCCCCAAATGCCAACCAGCCTGCATTACAGCAAGACGTTCTGAAAATGCTGAAGAGCATTTTGTAAATGTGGAACAGTGACGATACCTGCAGATGGCACTGAGCTGATGATGGCACTGAGCTGATGATGGCACTGCCTGCACCCTGCTTTGCAGAGTTCTTCCTCACTGTGCAGCACAGCAGCGCCCTGCAAAGCAGCACCACGCACCAAGGATGCCTGGTGATCCCAGAGGGAAAGCAGCAGGCCCTGTGCACCAGCAAAGCCAGAGCAGGAGCAGCTCTGCTGCCAGCACAGGGGCTGTGTGCATGCACAACACCACTTGGATGTTTTTTTGCATGGTGGGAAGGAACTACCCCCCCCCGATTGCTCTGATCCCTGCTGCTTGCAAAGAGAGCACGGATGCATCCAGGCATGGAGCAATGCACGTGGAGCAATGCACAGCACTCAGCCATGCTGCATTGAGCAGCACAGCATGCAGTGCAGCAGTGCATGGAGGGCAGGCAGAGCTGCGTGGCTCCTGCTAACACCATCACTTCACATGTGCTTATTATATTTCTAAGAATAGAGGAGCTCACCCAACATCCTGTACAACGGGGGGGGGGTTTAGCTGATTAATTTACGGCTTTGGAAGTCGTGGGTGTTCGATTTCATCCCATTCTGGAGTTTCTGACAAGCTGCTCTGGGTGCTGCAGATCCAGCCTCAGAGCCTTTCCCATTTGCTTCATGTCATTTTGAAACCAGTGTGCTCTGAATATTTGTGTGTCTGTCGCCGTTTTATGACAGCCTTAAATACCCACGTCTCACTTTTGCCACGAGTCCACCCACTGGTTTTAAACAGCTGGATCAAACTGAGGAGCATTTTCGAGTTCACGCTGCTTCTCCAGCATTGGTATCACCTTCCACAAGGCACACATGCAGCTCCATTGCACCCAGGACCATGGGCAGGTATATGGACTGACAGAGACCAAGGATGTGATCTATAGGTGGAGATCCTGACAGCCAGGCACGTCTCCCATGGGCACATGGAGGCACAAAGCCATCAGACACTGCACAACAGGCCAGCTGTAATATTGAGAATATTCATCTCCAGCCATTCCCAGTTAATGGCACAAAACAAACTGTCAAGAAAAATGGGGACATTACAGTAAAAACAACAACAAATTAAATCCTAATGCAATTAGAGAGCAATTAGGGATCTGTCCTCTGGGAGCACTTTTGGAACTCGGGGTCTTTCTCAAAATCTGATCTCTCTGCAACTTTCTTTCTTTCTAATTAATAAAACACGAGTGTCACAGCTCTGCCCAGCCCCCCACAAAATGCCATCCTCCTGCTCTGTAGGAGCAGATGGTGGTGCAGGTAGAAGTGTTCACACCTCTGAGCTCGAGGGAAATGCAGCTGTCAGCAGAACGAGGAGCAAAGGCAACGGGAACAGAAATCTCTCCCTGCAGCTGTTGCAAGGTGACCAAGGATCACACAGACCCAAAGATTCTCCTGCAAAAAGGGCCAAGGTGGGAGGCATGAGCAGAGAGCAGAGCATGAGTGACCACAGATAAAACGTGTTCCTCCTATGCACAGCTTCTATAAAGGCCACAATCCATACAAATATTTATTTAATTCCTCTTGACTTTTTAAACTGCCTAGAAATAAGCAGCTTCTAATTGCTCCAGTGTGCTGCAAAAGGAGCAGGACAGCCTTTGGGCATCAGTTTCTGCTCCATCCTGGCATGAGGGATTTCCAGCATCCCCAGTGCCACGCGACTGGCAAAGTCTGGAGAAAGCAATCTGCATGTCCTTCATCTGGGGACAAGGGACACTGAGCTTAGTGCCAACACAGCCCCCAAGAAATTACAACAGAACTGAAAGAAAGGGGCAAAGATGCAGCATCCCCCCCCCCCCAAGCCCGCATCTCTCCAGGCTCATCCCCAGGCTGCCTGAAGGTCAAAGCTGCTAAACTAACACAGCAACTCTGCTAAAACTCCCTCAGCAGATGCAAATACAGTCAATCTCACTGCGGAGGTGGCAGTGGAGCATGAGGGGAAACCTTCCCTTTTTTTTTCCTGAAGCTGCTGCTGTTCCCAGGATGAGTCCTTCCACACCATGCAGCTCCTGCCAGCAAAGGGCATTTTGCACAAGTTGTAAGGAATCACTGAACTTCCACATGGTGCCATCAGGAAGGCAACTGCCTCTGCACTCAAAACTGTGCGATGGAGAGAGATGGATCCCCTGAAATGTATTCATTTCTGCACCCTTGGGAGCATCTGTGGCCAGGTTTTGGCCTAGAAATTGGCCCAGTTCTGATCTCTCGATGTGGTTCTGGGTTTCACATCCCACTGTGCTCCTCGGGATTTTGACCCAGATGTGGCACAGCACTCAGACAAAACCTGGCAGTGCTGGCCTCTCTGTGCTCCTCACTCCCAAAGCACAGGGAAGATAAAACCACAATGAGACCAACCTGGCCACCAATGCTCCCAAGGCAATCTCTGTGCACGGAGTGCTGTGCTGGTACCAGCACATCTGCAGGGATCAGCAGCTGCAATGAAACCCACTGCAAATGGGTATCAACAGGCAGGTATCAACAAAACATCTCCCTACATAGAGAAAAGCTTTTCCAGAATGTTTAGTGGTTAGTCAGCAATGATGTGAATTGTTAAGAAAAACCTGTTGGGTGCTTTGCAGCACACCTGAGGAAGCAGAGGTGCAGCACTACAGCTCTTGTGGGTTCCCCATGGTTCCAGCACAGCAGGGAATAGCAGAGGAGGGCAGGAAAACTCGAGGGAGGATTGGGAGGAAAGCTACAACAGAGCAGCAGAGAGCAAAGCGAAGTGACTTCTGAAAACATGCACACCCAGGTCGGGCAGGTACAGATAGAAGAGCAAACTGTGTATGCAGGAGCAAGGATTAATTACTTGCAGTGACTCAGAAGCGACTAAGATTGATCAGAAGAAATCAGTTTGGGGGGAGGCAGAAAAATCAAGTCTTGTTTTGGGCAACAACCACCCCAGGGAGAGGGATGGAGAAGGCAGCAGGGCAGGTGCAGGGACACCAAGATCAAGAGGTTTCTGACTGATGGGTTTTTTCCTCTGGGGGGCAGAGAGCTCCGCTCTCACCGCTTCTGATCAAATATTGGGGGAAGACCCATTTTCCAGCTTCGCCCTAAAAAGCTCCTGCACTTCCCTTCCCTCCTGTCCCTTCCTATGGGAGATGAGTCACTGTCTAGCAACCTTTATCAAAATACCTCTTACGGAATTGTCTATTGCAGTAGCAGGGATAGCAGAAGGAGACCCCCACTCAGCACCCCTTTTCCCTGCACTGAACCCCTCCTGCCCTGCACCCCGTGGTTCAGAGCTGCCCGTTTGTGTTTTGCAATGGCACAGCACGTGCTTGTGTGAGAGCCAAAGGCACAACCTGCAGAAAATGCAAACTGGGGATTTTTAACTGCCTACTCCAGGCTTTGCAAATCTTGTTCTGCACTCAGTCATGCAAGCTAAGGTCATTCCAGTACCGGGGGATGGAAAAGGAGCATGTGGCTGCCTGAAGGGCAGCGCTAGGGCACGTTCCTGATCAGGTGCTACCAACCAGTCCATGGATAGAGATCACCAACAATTCATACGTCCCAGGAGTCATTACAGAAGGGCTCTCAGGCAGCTCAAATGGCAGTGCTCGTGGTGTGTTGAGGACAGCTGTTCTGAGGCTCAGACCTGCAGACAGCTCCCGTGCAACACGTGGGGTCAGCTGACCCCAGGAACACACTGAGTCCCCCCCCTGCCAGCAGCTGCTGCAAGTTTGCTGCTGCTTTTCCTATGGGTTCTTCAGCTCAGAACTGGCCAGGGGCAGCCGTCCTGTTGCTCAGCTACCTCCCCAAAACCTGCTTTTGCTCTCAGAGCAGTGCAAGCCTGGCAAGTTCTCCAAACTTTAAGAACAGCGCAGACAATATGCTGGATTCCTGCATCTGCAGACATTGAATCTGCAGTCATAGGAGCTTGCTTTGAGAGCTGAGCTGGGGAAAAGCCTGCACAAAGCACCCCTCATTTCTGCTGACCAACCAATGCAGGACAAAGTCCCCACCGAGGCACCAACTCGACTCTGGTCACCTCCAAACAGGTGGATATTGCACTCCATAGCACCACTGGAGAGCATCCTGGCACCCAACAGGCTCTGGGTCACACACAATGCATGCTGGCCACTTCCAACCTCTGGCACAGCACGAGGGAAGCACAGCATTGCTGGTGGGCCCCGCATGCAGGCTATGCCACAGCAGCAGCACCAAAACAGCCCCAGCTGCCCCGTACACCTGGCACCGCATCCCAGCATCACCGCCCGTCCCTCCCACTGCCTTCAGACGGGCGCTGTCACTGCACAGAGCTCATTTCCCCATAAACTTTCCTCCAACTCTAAGCAGCAATCGAGCAACAAGCAGCGCAAGAGCCGAGAGGAGGGGCAGTACCTTCGCGTCGCCGATGTGCAGAGGATAACGGCCGCTCCTGCGATGCTGCTGGGATAGGAGCGCGTCGGAGCCGCAGTCCCAGCTCTCCTCTCCCCACGAACGGATCTCTCAGTCTCCCAGACCAACTGTGCTGGAAAGGCACTCGGTTGCATCTGCTGGAGCTCCAGCTCCACCCCTAGCAGCAGCGATTGGCTCTGTGATGCTCTGCAAGGCTGCGCTGGCCCCGGCAGCCTCCCTCCGGCTCCAGCTCCTGAGACCATCGGGAGCTTCCCTGAGCAGTAAGCAGAGGAAAGCAAGGGGATGGGTTGATCCCCAGACCAGCAGCTGACACGGGTTCCTTCAGGCAGGGCCCACACGATGCAGAAGCCAAGAAGCATTTGCTCGAGGCCAGCAGCAGATGAGAGCGTGACAACAAATGGGGGAAGGAGAAACAAAGGGGATGCAGAGACCTGCAAACCACACGCAATGAGGGGGCAATACCTAATGCAGCACCACGCACACAAGTCTGGGAATCTGTAATGCATAGCCAGGTTTACACTAAACAGAGCTCTCTGAACCAGGCAATCTGGAAAGCAGAGCAGGCATTCATTCTTTTGCGAGGAGCATCTTCCAGGCACGCCCAGCTCACAGCTCAGGCTAAAAAACCTGGGCACCACGGCGAACACGGGCACAACCTCCTGCATCTTTCCTCTGCCAGCACAAAGCCTCAGAGACGCCGTCTCTCCTCCCTCCATTCTGCTCCTAACAAAAAAAGATGCTGAGGACTGGCTGGGTTCCACCGTTTCTGTCCCCAGCCTTGGCAGCACCGCCTGTGCCTGCACGTGAGTCCCAGCTGAAGCAGATGCAACAAGGGCCAGGAGCTGCCCTTCACCCTGCTGGGACCTTCAGGCCATGCCTGGTGGGTGAGCAGCAGTGCTGGATGCTCCCAGCCCCTTCCTGCAGCTTTGTCTGACTGAGCCCCACCTGTTTGGTTTGGGAGAGGATCAGAGAGCTGAGGATAGTCCTCAAACAGCTGCTTATCCCTCTGCCTTCTCAGCAGCTCATAAATATTCTCTTTGATGCCATGATAATTCCTTTTGTGTTTCATAGGCCAATTAATTTGGAGACTTAGAAAACACACATAAAAAAAAAATATCAGAAATCTGTTACTGTTTTGATTTATATTTAAAACCAGATCTCCTCAGATGCACAACAACATTATAGTGATGCTCAGAGAGCACAGAGATTCTCATTTCTACACGAAATGCCTCAAGAAGCTAAAAGCACCTTCTGCTGGCACATTAGGATGGGATCACTCACAAAGGTGGAGCAGAGGTGTTCCAAACCAATGGATTTGGGTTGGATTTGGGTTGGATTTGGGTTGTGCAAGAATCAGGCTGAGCCACGCTGCTGCATTTCTGCTGCAAGGTGTCTGGAACATCCACTTCAGTGTCTTTAAATCACCCAGAGGACCTCACCACCATTTTTTTCCATTCTGTCTGACAAGTAACACTTTTACAAAGTGTTTGAGTGCTTCCTGATCCTGCCTGGCTCTTTAGCTGCAAATGTTCCTCAGCATTTTTAAGCCCATTCAGCTGGCCCTGAACTGGGCTTTAGAAAGTAAGCATGCTTAGTTTTTAAGCCATGTATCTAAGCATCCAAAACTGACACAAAGTCCTCAGAGCTGCCACCTGCTGAGAGGTGCAGGTCAGACACTGCTTGCAATGATGCAGCTGCCATTCAGGGAAGGGAGATTCCTTAAATCTCTTCCTTACTTCCAGCCCCCTTAACCCATTCCTCCAGCAAAGCTGCCTCCAAGCAGAATTCCCTTTGCAGATGATAACAACGAATGTGAGTGATGCTGCACTGCCCTTCTAGGTGCCAACCAAAGAGGCAGAGCTCTCCATAGCTCTTCCCAGATAGGTTTGGACAGCCCTGGCTCAGACCAAAGCACAACACTGGAAAATTCAGTTTTTCTCCATCCCAGTGCACTGCCAGGGCTGAGGAATATGTTTACTGACCCTGAACTGGGCTAATTACAGAGCAACCTGAAAAGCCTCAAAATACAGAGCAGGAAAACAACAGCTGTGATTGATTAATCACAGTAGCGAAGCTGAAGGGTTTGATCATTCCCAAAAAAAAAACCACTTTAATATGTCGTTCTCCAAAGAGGGAGAGGCTACTGCAGGCACAGAACAAAGCAGAGCTCAGGTCGGGTTCTCTTCCCCCCAGTGGCTCTGAGCAGACTGCGGTGCCTGCAGCAAGAGGAGAGCACAGCACTGCATGAGCAAACACAAGGGCATTTTGCCCCTTGGTGCAGCCCATCTGGCCAGAGCCATCCCATCCCTTCAGTGAGCATCATCTCCTTGTTCCCATTTCTCCTTGCTGCACGCTTAAAGCAGCATCCTGCTGGTGCCACTGAATGGTGATGGATCGGGCGTCTGCCCACTGCTCCATGGGCACCAGGACCCAGAAGCATCCAGCACAGCAGGGCACGTGCAGAGATCTCAACTGCAAGGCACATCTGACATTGCCAGGCTCCAGGTACAAAGCTCCCTTTGCTCACAGAGAGAAGCCAACAACTTTGCAAGTGAATAATGTCATTTCCCTTCAAATCATCCGGCCCTGAGGATCTCACCCTTCCTCCTTCATGCATTACAACCATGAGGATATGAAATTCTCAGACTCCTTGCAAATGCTTCCCTCCTCTAGGACAAGATCCTTGCTCTGTAGAACCCTCTGAGCAGATCTTGTGCACACAGAGACCAAAGGTGCAGAGCACAGCTGATCTGAAATCCCAGCTCAGGGCTCTTAGCACTGCAGTGATCAAATTTTGGGTACTTTTCTCAGTGCCACTGCCAGACTTTGACCTGCCAAAAAGCAGAAACCAGATTTTTCCTAAAGAAACCCCAGGTCTGTCTGTCTGCTGCCAGTGCAGCACTTTGTGGTGACATTCAGATCCCAAGGCACCACGTAGCCCAGTGAATCATTAGAAAAATCTCCAGAAAGAGTTTTGTCACAGTTGTAAGCACAGCCTCCTGTTGCTTTCATAGAATCACAGAATGGCCAAGGTTGGAAGGGACCTCAAGGATCATGAAGCTCCAACGCCCTGCCACACACAGGGCCACCAACCTCCACATTTCACAGCAGCCCAGGCTGCCCAGGGCCCCATCCAACCTGGCCTTGAACACCTCCAGGGATGGATGCCCATCCACAGCCTCTCTGGGCAGCTGTTCCAGCACCTCACCACTCTCACAGCAAACAACTTCCTCCTGACATCCAACCTCAATCTGCCCTCTCTCAACTTCAAGCCATTTCCCCTTGTCCTGCTGTTATCTCCCCTTTCCAAGAGCTGACTCCCCTCCTGTTTGTAGGCTCCCTTTAGGTCCTGAAGGCTGCAATGATTCACCCTGCAGCCTTCTTTTCTCCAGGCTGAACAAGCCCAGCTCCCTCAGCCTGTCCTCATAGTGGAGGTGCTGCAGCCCCCTGCTCATCTTTGTGGCTCCTCTGGACCCTCTCCAACAGCTCCCTGTCTTTTTGTCCTGGGGGCTCCAGACCTGGACGCAGTGCTGCAGATGGAGCCTCACAAAAGCAGAGTAGATGGGAACAATCACCTCCCTGTCCCTGCTGGCCACCCCTCTGCTGATGGGCTTTCTGCCCAGGAGAACAAACCACACTGTTGTTCTGCTTCTCCTTCACACTGGGAAGCTGTGATGCTGCACATCATCATTGGTTGGTTGGTTATGGCAACCAAGCAGACGTAACTCACAGCACCTCATGGCCACACCATTGATCTGTCCTCACCACCACATCACCCATAGCTCAGATCTTCTCCCTTTCCCCAACGGAGGAAAAAAAAAAAAGAAACCAGCTCTTTTCAAAGTCATTTTGTTAATAAGCAACACTGCACAGATGAAGGGGCAACGCAGAGGCACTGGATGGAAGGGAAACAGCCAAAGTAGGAGTACCTGGCTTTTTTTTTATTTCAGAAGACCCAGCTCACAGTGCACTCACAGCTCAATGCCTGCACAGCAGAGCATGGCAAAGGACACTGCACAGTCTGCCTGAGCACATCATGACCAGGGCCAGCGAGGTGTGGGTCACCTTGTCAGGCAGAGGGGGAACCTCTGAAAGTAGATTTCTGTTGGACTTTTAAAAATCTCTCGTCTTCCAGTGAAACAATTGAGGTGTGGGAATGCTCTGCTGTCTGGGGAACTCAGAGGAAATGCTTGGAGAGAAGATAGATGGTGCTCCACCGTGCATTGCAGCAACATCTGCTGCTCTTCTCTGTGCTCACTGCTTACCTCCCCTTCTTTGGGCTATTCTGTATTGTCCACACTTAATTTTCTGAGCTGGCAAGCATGGAGGAGTTAAGAAGAAATTTTAGGTAAAGGCATGGTCATCTGTGCATTGGTTTGAGAGAACCTTGCAGCAAACTCTGCCTGAACTGGCAACTTATCTCCAGCAAGACAGGGCACAAATAAAGCAGCTGACCCTCGTTCCAACACTGTTAAACATGCTGGTGGGATGTCCCTGATAGCTTACTCTGGTTTTGTTAGCTCATCCTCAATCATAGTTTTTAATCCAGGGGGATAATAGAAAAGGCTGAGCCCTGACTCTGGCAGAGCATCCTCAGCTCTGTGCATAAGAACTGCAGCACCCAGGGAGCTTAAACAAAGAACCCCAGGCAGTCCCAGCCTGAAACACTGGGAATAGTGCCATCCTCTTCAGACAGGAGATGGTTATTTGGAAATGTAATTTCTGAGGTCACCTTTCATCATCTGGGCAAACTGTGTGAGCAGCACGGAGCACAAGCACTGTTGTGCTGAGCTGAAGGCAGCACTGGGGACTTCCCACAGCTCCAGGGCACTCTGATGTGGGTTCTGCACTGTGTTTGGCACCATGAGCCATTTCCCACCCACTCTGGCCCTGTATTGCAGGGCACTGCATGTCTGCTCGACTATAAATAGTTTGTAGCACTAATGAGCAAGAATTAATGACTTTTCTAATTATACCACATCAGTTGGTGACAGTGGGCTTAGCATCCCGAGCCCACTCTGCATTGCTGGCTGCAGAACATACCTGTGCATCACCTCACAGTTCCAAGGAATCTCAAGTCAGAAGCACAGCAGA